TGCATTGTGGTAAATTGTGGTCAGTGTCATGAGACAAAGTGTATGTGAACTGCTGTATGGAAAGTGAATTTGCTCTGTAAATTTTCACCCAAATCACAAAAAAAAAAAAAAAAAAAAGTTACTTGTTTTCTCCTTTTTTTCAACTCATTGATAGATAAAATTGTGTTTTATATTCCCCTTCACTGCACCCCACAGAACGAGGCCATTTAGAACTTATTACCTGTATTTTATTTAGGTTTTTATGATAATTAAATCTCTCATCAAAATAGGATGATATGCAACACTGTAAGGAAAAAAACACCTAAATGCCCATGAGCAGATGAATGGATAAATAAAATGTAGTGCATGCATACAATGGAATATTAAACCCAAAACCCACTGCCATCCAAGTCGATTCTGGCTCATAGCAACCCCCATTGGGTTTCCCAGGTGGTAAATCTTAACAGAGGTAGATTGCCCAGTCTTCCTTCTGCAAACTGGCTGTGGGGTTTGAACCACCAACCTTCTGGTTAGCAGCCAAATCCTTTAGGCACTGTGCCACCAAAGCTCCTTAATAGAATATTGTTGTTGTTGTTTGCCGTTGAGTTGGGTTTCTGAGGTGATATCACTATGGAAGTAGATTGCCCAACCTTGCTTCTGAGGAGTGGCTGGTGGGTTTGAACCATCAGCCTTCTGGTTAGCAGTCAAGTGCCATAGGTACTACACTACCAGAGCTCCCAATGGAATAATTTCTCTTTAAGGCTGAGTAATGTATTACTCAGCCTTAAAGAGAAATGAAGTCCTAAAACATGCTACAACATGAATGCACTTTGAAAACATCTGTTGTTGTTAGGTGCCGTCAAGTCGGCTCTGACTCATAATGACCCTTTGTACAACAGACCAAAACACTGCCTGGTCCTGTGCCAGCCTCACAATACTTGCTTTTTCTGAGCCCATCATTGTAGCCACTGTGTCAGTCCCCTTTTTCACTGACCTTCCACTTACCAAGCATGATATCATTCTCCAGGAAATGGTCCCTTCTGACAGCATGACCAAAGTCGGTCAGACGAAGTCTGGCCATTCTCACTTCCAAGGAGCATTCCAGCTATACTTCTTCCAGGACATATTTGTTAGTTCTTTTAGCAGTCCATAGTACTTTTAGTATTCTTCACCAACACCGCAACTCAAAAGCATCAACTCTTCTTTGGTCTTCCTTATTCATTGTCCAGCTCTCATATGCATATGAGGCAACTGTAGATACCATGGCTGGGGTTAGTTGCATTTTAGTCTTCAAAGACATCTTTGCTCTTCAGCACTTTAAAAAGGTCTTTTGCAGCAGATTTACCCAGTGCATTACATTGTCTGATTTCTTGACTGCTGCTTCCATTGGTGTTGACCATGAAACCAAGTAATATGAAATCATTAATTGAAAACATTACGCTGCACGAAATAAGCCAGTCACAAGAGGACAGATGTGGTGATTCCGCTTGGATGACGTCTCTAGGATGGGCAAATGCACCGAGACCCAGCTGATGAACAGTAACTAGCAGTCAGGAAGAGGAGGCAAGAGGGAGCTGTTGCTGGGGAGACACTGAGCTTCTCTTAAGTGTGATGGAAAAATTTGGAAACGGATAGTGGTGACAGTTAAATGACATGATGAACATTAATGAATGTCGCTGAATTGTCCATGTAAAAAAAACTGGTATATGTTTTGCTGTGTATATTTTCACCAAATTATTTTTTTCTAAAATAATGTTGAAATGACATGTTTTGTTACTTTTATATTAACATAATTTATATTAACATAATTTTTAATGGTGAAACCAAGTTATTCCTACTTTTAAAAACCTAGGTGACTCTCACAAACATAATGTTACATGAGAAGCACTGTGATTTCATTAACATAGAATGAAAAACAGGCCAGATGCCTCTGCGGTGAGGGGAGGGAGGCGGGGCAGGTGTCACCTGTGGGGAGCAGTGAATGGGGGAGGGACTCAGAACGTTTGGGGATGTTGTCACTGTTCTATTTCTTAGTCTGAGTTCTAGTTACAGGAGTGTGTTCACTTGGAAAGTGTGTGAAGCTGTCCACCATTGGTGCACACGTCCGTAAGGAAAAACAAACATTAAAAACATAACAAAACGGAATTTCAGCACCTTGTCCAGAGAAAATGAGATAAGAATCCATTTGTCCTTCCTTTTGTTAAGCCAGCAAGCAGTGATGTTAGGAGAAAATTGGGTTTTACCTTTTAATTCTACCTTATTGAATGTCAGCTGCATTTAATTTTGCAGACACTTTGCACCTAAGTCCTTCTAAGGTCATTGGTAAGACGACCTGTAGCTTGAATGGAAGATTGCTTGATTAGGATTTTACTCAACACAATTGTTCCCCTGAGTTCTGACCTTTTTGTTTAATATAGAAACAAATACCTTTTAAAAAACAACAGGTGCATTCCATTGGAAAACTCCTTCCCTTTTTTTTTTTTGTCTGTTGTTCAGTAAACAAATGTTGATGTGCTAAATGTGATGAGATGAACACCCACGAGAATACCACTTTGGTAGATGAGACTGGACGCTTCCAGGCTCCAGAGGACCCAAACCCCTCCACTTCTGCAGGCTCGAGATTCAGGTCATCCTCAGAGTTAGCTCTGCCCCAGCCCTCTTCTCCATGAATCAGAGGCCTACT